AGGCGTCCGGTAATGAAACCAAAAGACCCACTGCCACGGCAAGAAACGTCTGGAGTCGTTTATCGGATCGGGTGCAGTTGCGGACAAAGCAACTTCGTAGGAGAAACCGGAAGACAGCTCGGAACGCGAATGGCCGAACACGCGGCAGCGGTGGGGAAAAATGACGCCAGCTCTCAAGTTGCGGCTCATTCGACGGGTTCCGGCCACACATTCAAATTTGACGAGGCCAAAATTCTCGCAAGAGGTGATAACCACGTGAGCCGGGAGCTGCTTAAGTCATGGTTTATTGGCCCCCATTCTATTAACAAGTGCTATGATCTTCCCATTCCATACAGCGTGCTGAGACTTCGTTTAGGCGGAGTAATTGGCCACGCGGGGAGCGCACTGGTGAACACCCGGGTCAACGCGTCAGATGGTCGAGCAACCATCACACCAACATCCAACGCACGTGATGAAATTGCAGCAATTAAGGACGCGAATGTCGGCCATCACGCCACGTGCAATGATCCCTGATGAAGGTGAGGGAGCCGTGAATATTCATAGGTATGCGGTAGCATGGCTACTGAATCCTATAAATACTGCATCCGCATATGCATGAACCACCCTTATCTGCTTATGTCTCTGATGATGGATTCGAGCAGGAATGCGAAACGTCACGCTAATAAAGCTCTTGTCCCGGCGATCGTGCCTTCTTCTTCTTCTTCTTCTTCTTCTTCTTCTTCTTCCTATTCTTCAAGACTGCTTCCTGGGCCACGTCTCTTCGCTTCTGTTTGCTCTCCCTTGCCTACCCCATGCATCAGGTGACTGTCCAAGACCGTCAAACAATGAGAATTATAGCAGGCGCATTTGTTAACGCGTCGCGAAGTCCTACGCCCAGGACGTGCCCCACACATACACAGCTCGTTATGGGCTTGTGTTATTTGCATTTTGCCCGACAAAAGCATGCTGTAATCCAGTCTGAACCCTGTTTTGATTCAGCAAGTCTGTAGCGTACGCGCCGATGCAAATCTAATCATTTTTACATTGGAAAAGACATCTTGGACAGATCGGACAACCAAAGGTTACAGTCCTTATTACAAAATCCCGTTTTTTAAACACTTAAGTATCAGTGCAATAGGCTTAGCTCCCCAGACCCGGGTGACGAGCTATCTTTTCTCCGGATGACACGGAGCACATAAAGGAACGATATATCTTTTGAATGGAGGTATATCTAACACTTTAATCGGGACACTGTGAATTCCCAAATTTTTTTCGAGATACGCTGCGGCACAATCAGCAGAGTTTTTCGGAACACCAGCGTGCCTGAAATCAAGTTTGTGACTTGCCGATCCTTCATTAATGATGCCTATCAAGAGTTTTTAAAATGAAGATAATTATGATTGTTGATATGGGCCCCGCAGTTTATGAGAGCATATACTCCGGCTAGGCTGAAGGTGAGGCCAATTGCCATGGATTGGGCTTTCAGTCACGAAAATCACCAGGACATGAAATCATGATCGCCAATGCCGGGGTTGCATTTGAGTTATTTGCCGGCCACACAACTGCTATCTGAACGATTTTCAAGGAACGAAATCCGTTTTGGAGAGATATATAAACAGCAATGTCTTAGTAGTGATAATGATAATGATGATGATGATAATTTTTTATTAAAGACCCGTCGGGATCCCATCAAAGCAAGTAAAAATAAATTTACATGCGAATTTTAGACGAGGTAGGCAAAATCTTTACAAGATGCAATTCATAGTTTCTGAATTAGTAGTCCATTGAGAAAAATGACTAGTGACTAGCAGTCTAAAGCGCTGAAATATGTAACCCATGTATATGTATCCAAGAAGGCAATCTCTGATTAAGAAGCTGAGTTTGTGAACGTGGTCTGCAGTACACGTCTGAAATTACAAATTCCTCGTCAGCAATCCACAATGAACTCTGAGATGTAGACTGACAGCGTTATTTTCGCATAAGATTATTCTGCACACTTAGTTGCTCCTGGCCACAGAATCACTATTTATGTTAGGTTGATGTCATCCAAAGCACACCGGAGGGTTGCTTGCTATGTATGCAAGTCAGCGCGAATCAGTCAACGATGTGTCTGTGATTTCGTCGCAAAAATTACTACGTACACCTCAATAACCTCATTCCTTAAAGGATTAACTGTGAAAAAACCTGGGAGCCCTGGCCCGCAGGCGATGTACACGCAAATGGAGCTTATTGGCAGAAACGCTGAAATGCTTGCCCTCTTTATAAAGGTATTGATTCTGTTGCTGGCTTCCTCTCCGCCTTTGCGATCAAGGACTAAACGATTTTCGTTTCTATTGTCTTAGCTATTTCAAATGCCTGTTACATTTGTGACTATCGAGTTTCATGCAGATTATTTTGCTTTCTCTTCAGCATCTCCGTGCATGGAGTTTGGCTTAAGTATTTTCGTTGCGGTCTGATTCTGCGTCGCAACCGAAAAGGTTACTATCGTATTACCCCATAGATTCCTATTGTACTTTTCTCTGCTGAGCGTGTGTTAATGCCTGGTTTAAATTTTGCTTCGATCAAGTCTCCTCCGCGAGGAAGACACTGGTAGGGCAATCACAAATTGGCCTCTGTAATAACTTGAGTAAAACAATTCTGTTGACCTGAAATGAATAGAGTTTGATTGTACTTTTCGCGCAGTGTAAAGGCCAGAGTATCCGGAGAAATCACACGAGGGGAGATAAGGTAACTTAACCGAATACTTAACGCGCAAATGTGAGTTGACCAAGAGTAAAACAGAATCGATTGGAAAAATTCGATGAAACTTGTAGAAAGGCTATGATCGGATCGAATTCTTTCTCACAATATTGCAGCGCACGTCAGTGCAGTACGGTATTATCATGGATACAGAATGCTTTCGACTAGTTTGACGAACAAACAAGACAATTAGAAGAAAACAATACAAAAACACAGGTCGCGATCATACGTAGTTTTCGATAAATTCCCGTCGGACCAGTGCAGTTATATGGGAACGGGGTAGAAGCAAAAACCCGACAGCGATAAGATAAATCGATTAAAGTTCGTCTTAAAACACAGGCCGGGTGTGGAATTCCCGGGGAGGAGGGGGGAGGAGTTATCGCAGTCACTGTCAGGGGCGATGTGAGAGCAGAAGGGTGGGGGGAGAGTTGCAGCGTTAGTCGACCTTCGACTACTGTGGCGCGGAGCCTGAACGTGGTTCTTCTGTGCGCACAAGATTGGTTTTCGCAACGTGATGGCGGCAGCCTCTGCGGTTTCTAACAGGCGCTTGCCCAGTGGTTTAAGATTGCTCGATCGGACCTTTTAAATCACACGAAACGCTTCATTGGGGTCTACATGATTTTCGGAACCGACAACATGCGCTAGAAGTGCGCTGCTTATGCTCTAGTTTCGCCCTTTCCCAGCCATGCCGGGAGAGGTCCCGTATTCTCTTGGATAAGCGCCGGCTCGAGTGGCCAATATAACCTGCTCCACAGGAGCAAGTGAAGGAATAAATGCACAATGAAGTGGTCTGGGATCGCAACTTGTCCCTACCTTCGCCGCGAACAATATGGTTAGTAGAGAAGAATGTTTCTAATTCTACCCCGTTCCCATATAAATGTACTGGCCCGACGACAATTTATCAAAAGCTACCTATGCCCGCCACCTCGTCTTCTGATTACTGTTATGAAAATGTTCGGAACTCAAAAACACCGGTATGACATAAGTCATTGGTTATCCTACCAATTAAGGCAAATAATATACCATGAACCAAGTTCAACATTATGTTAAAAAATAACAATTAAACTTAACGGGCGACCCAAAGACTAACCTGTCTCAGGGGCCTCGACAGCTATTTTGGTGCTTATTATATCGAAATCGGATTCATTGGTCTTAGAGTCCACTAGTTCCTGAAATTTTTCCAGCTTTTCCAGAATCGCTTCATCGCTTTCAATACCAGCTTCGGCGAAATCAGAATTAATCTCCTTAAGATCTAATCCTGTAGAAGTGAGGCGGTTTCGGTAAAGTCTCCATACGTTTGCGTCCAGAATTTTGAGAGTGGTTGTGAGTGTTTCGAACTGCGTAAGGTCGTGAGCTGTCTTTTGTGTCTTCCAGAAGTCCTTTCGAGTGTTCGCCAGATATCTGTCCGTGGAACAAGACATAGACAAAATAAATCCGCTATCAGAGACAGTTCGAGCTAAGGTTAGCAAGAAGTCGTCTGTGGCAGGCAAAACCAGCTGCTGGGTCCAAGAGACAAGCAAGGAGTATTCTCTCAGAACAGGCACAAGAATAATGGTCTCCCCGACTCCGGGAAACACTTTTACAAGTTCTCGGTTAATCACAATGACGTCAGCAAAAATGGGGCCACATTCGAGATTGACGTTATGTTCTATATGAAAGAAAATAGGGAATGTACTTCCCTTAACCTCCTCGTGCACCATGACTGCGGAAGAACCTTTATTTGCACGATACTTGGTGTTATCATAACACAAATCGAGTTCAAAGGATATAGCGCATTGGAGAAAAATGTTGTTCTCCTGAGTAAAAGACAGTTCATTTTTATCTCTGGTACGAAGATTGCCTGCCATTCTAGTTTGTGAAAAATTCACTTACAACTCTAGCCTGTGACAATTTTAGTTGAGAAAACACTGACCAATCGCCTGCCTACCTCCGGAGGCCCTGTAGATCGGTATGAAAAACTCCCAGCAAACACTTTGTGGACTGCAAAATATTATATTCCCGAAATAATTATCGTTTAGAAAAACATCCTGTAATTCGAATAATTTTACCTCTTTTGTTTTTCTGCTTAAACACCACTATTTGCTATAAAGGGCGGTAGATGTGGAATGTCTTCGTATCCTCACCTCAGCGGTTTTTCAAAGGTTTTTGAAGATAGGTTCTCGAGAGCACCACTAATTCGTCAAATTCTGCATACCACTGGTCCTGATGAGTAAATTCCTTGCTTTAATCATAGAAGAAGAACTTTTCTCTTTTCCGATCTTCAGTCCAGGTATTCATACTATATGGACGATATGCAAGAAGGTACGCTTTGAACTGCCTTCTGAACTTTATTTGACGTGTTACTGGATTCTAATTAATTTGCCGTGCTTCTTCGCAGATATTTTTTTGCTTGTTCACGCATTTCGATTTCAACGTCTCGTGTTTTTTCGCGTTCTCATGCATGAGGCACCGGTATTTACTATTAAGCCCCCAGATCACCACAAAACTGAAGCGAACCAGGATATTTGAGATTATTTAAATCATATGCTGGTAAAATTTGTGCAGTGCATTCTTTTGCGCAGAGCGTTTTGTCTGCTTGGACAGCATATTAAATTTAATATCCGCAATAACAATTCTGGACCTTAAGGTCCAGACTTGTTCTTCTTTTTTACTGCATCCGCATATATATGCGGATATCTCGAGATATCTCGACAAAGATTTGTCCTCGCACTTTTTGTCCAAATTTTAACGATCGCCCTTCCCTTATTTGTTTGATTTCTGGGAAATAGTTGACCGAATTATTGCAAATGTCTGCCTCATGGATAACAGTTTTGTTTGTATCTGCGTCACCTAAATAAGTCCCTTTGATATTGGTGTTCTACGTGTCGCTCGTGGTCTCTACGACAAGTTTTTTCATAGGTCATTTGGACGTACTTCTGGTGCGCTTATTCGAACCACCGTTAACTAATTAATGCCCATGCCAGTCCTCTAGCCGATCTTACTATCACTTGACAATTAATCTGAATGAGAGCTAATATCCATGATGATGAGGAAATTCTCCGCAACTCTCTAAAACTTTCTACGTCCACACCTTAACGATCTGCTTTGTTACTTAGTCCACGATACTCTCTTAGAAGCATATCATCAATTCACCAAGTTTATTTGATAAGAGCCAGTTGTGGCTCGTCTCCAGCGCATAGGACTAAGGTCCTTACACCATAATCTGTCTGACGTTTGCGTTGTATTCCTCACTTCTTAAGCTATTAATCTTTACCATTTTGTCTTGTATTTTTATGTGCATGACTTATAGTTTATCTCAGAACTGATCGAAAAATGTCGTCTGCTATAGTGCTTTTTCTCACAGTCGCCTCTTTGTGGATCTACAGTTTGACAAGATGGAATCTCTTAACCTTGAAAAAGTATTGTGGTACATGTCTGTTTTGACGCTACCTATTTTTGCGTTTTGAAATTACCAGAAAACATTTTTGGATTTGTTTTCTCGTAGCTTCGAAGGAACACCCTATAGCTCCTACAGTTTGAATGGTATTGAAATATCTGTCATGTTTTACGAGCGGACGGAAGATTCTTTTGGATACCAAGTCAGGCATTTAAAAAATCACGACTCCCCGTGATGAACTATAGCAAAAATGAACTTGCGTCACTCGGAAATTACATTAGGACTTACCTAAATCATCTTGTTTTTTAGGCTATCACGCTACTGGAAAGGAAAGCACTTTACCAGTTTAATTGCATGAAAGAATTTTTGTCATTTACATACGTAGAAGAACATGAGTACTTCTCTATGGACCTGAAATTCCTAGTTTCAGTTTTAGTCATGAAGATGTTAATTTTTACACTTTGTATTTGATCCTTAGAGCTAATTATACATTATTTTAGTTGATCGCCGTTCTTACCAAATGCTTAGGGTATTTTATAACCACATAAGCCAGACACACGGACCTCTTGACACGTCGGTATGAGGGTTGGCCTTTTTGCGTTTCTATTGCTTGGGATAAATTGATTCCCCTTGATTTGTTAGCTTGAACTGACGGCAGCTACAGCTTATTGAGTTGGCACTTATTAAATGGTTCTCAGTTACGTCTGGCGATTACCAATGCTACTCTCTAGGACCATTACAGATGCTGCATTACACCATGAGTCCTTCTCCACGACCTATTTTGGCATTCGCTTTGTGTATTTAACGGAGGTCAGTCAGTCTTGATTCGAGAATTGCTCCTGTCCATTTACTGTTGTAGGTCCTTAGCCTACGGGTAGATTGAGGAGACTGTCTCTATTCTATTTTTCGTCAGAATAGGTACCACAGTCCTAGTTGCCGTACCGCTGGGACTTGTCAGAGATGCAACATTCTAGAGTAGTTTCCTCGGCGGCGAAACACATCTTCATCCAAGTTATGCCATTTTTGGTATGAAAACTCCGAACGACTCGCCTTTCATGAAGACCAGACAGAAACCAACGGTATTTTATCAAGCAAAACAACCATGGACCAAATATACGACGTCTAAATAATAAACGGCCTGAGGACTGAAAAGTCATTCCTTAAACTTAAGGATTTTCCGAGATGGTACCTTCATTTCAGTACATACAAGTGGTACGCATTATCCGTAGACTATGAGCTGTAACCCGGTGTTGCGTGATTCAAGTGAAGCATCCACTGTTACTTGCGGCAGTCGTGACCGCTATCCATGTCGCACGCTGAAATGCTGGTGACATCTTCATCGGAAAGCCGGACGACAGTTACGTACTTGTCCACATGGGTCGGGATTTTTGTTGTCTTGGCTCGAAGACACACGAAGTACAGGTGTTCAGGCGAAATTGTACTATTCAATCGATCTTTGTGCATCGGCGCGCGGACGTTTGCCACATGACCCTAGGCGGTTGATTAAATAATCACCCTCCCCCATAGTAGGCGCTGTTTTTTTACGCTGTCTGCTTTTTTCGAAGTCGGAACCTGTTCAGGATAGAAAACGCATTTCGTAAATGATGACATTTTGAGCGAGTGGATAGTTGGATGTCGGTCGCGGCATTCAACTGCAGTTAATCGTCGTTGTACCCTTCCCGTTATGGATAGTTTCTGCTAGTGGATGTCCCATATTCATATCTCTTCCTGCTTTAGCTTTTCCAGTTATATTTTAAATCTGACCTTAGTCCTTCTGCCGTAACTACCATCGAGGGGACAATTTCGTCTTAACTTCTTCGAAGCCAGACGTGTTGCAGACGGTCGTGATGTTGACCGATGCATTTTTTTATATTCGTCCCGCAATACGAGCGATCATTCAGTTTCACGCTGCGAGAACTTTGTTTTGCGATTAAGTGCGTCCAACCAAACCGGTATTTCATTTAGTCTGCCGGTGGTCTGGTTAGAAGTCTTTGCACAAGTTTTGAATTCGTCTGAATCAAGTGTTTTTGCTGTACAAAATTCATTGCAGTTTGATCAGTGGTTTTGTGCGTGGTAAACTTGCTGCAGTACAATACGTTTTTACTCCGCTCCACCCCAGGCCGACTACTGTTAGCCGCACTAATAATGGAAAGTCGGCCATTTCATAAAGCTAAAATAATAATTTAGCGTCCCCTTTCGATCTAAATATTCTATCAAACTAGAGTAAAATGGCACGTTTTAGTTCTCTTAAGGCAACCTACCCTTTACGAATTTCACGAAGTTACTGGAATCTATCTATCTAGGTCGCCAAAGTTATCGCCACCGTAACCCTTGCTTAACATTGACGCCCGGAACTGGGCAGACCACCGCTTGAGTCTAAGCGCTCAGATTCGTATCTTTCCGCACACAATATCTAGCGGCATGCTAGACCCCGCCGTTTAAACCATTGCTTTTAAACTGTCTACTGCATGCTACGTTGAATCAGACTTGCGATGAACATTTAAAGACAATGACTATTTCTGGTTTGTTAGTCGATATCGACCAGTGATACCCCTTACTGCTGCCACACCCCAAGCGTAAAGACCAGCATTTAGCGGATTATGGGGCACGGAATTCTGACGCCCTATTCACATGTGGTATCGTGCCTGCCCCCTCTCGGTTGCAGCCAGTAATGTGCTCATGATTTGTTAGATTTATGGGGTGAAAATTAGAATTGTGGATGACAAGAAATATCGTCTTCGGCGATATTTGGGTTTCGTTTCTTCACAATCCCCTACTTTCCTTAATTTTTAGGGGCCAATAACTTCGCCGATGAGATAATGAAAAACTCGGAAAACCGCCGTTTAGGTATGCATCTCGATCCTAGCGTCCATCTCTCTCCGTGTTTCCACAGAGTATCCCTGCTGGCGAAGTTCTTTTGACCTGTCTTCAATCATGGACTCGGTCAGTGAGGTAGGTTTCACTTCCTTCCTCTCATAACTTATCTATTTTCCTTCATGAAAGGAACCACTGCTCGATTATGGGTCTTCATTGGCTGAAGCTTCTCAAGCGTCCAAATTTCCTGTCGAAGAGTGTAAGTGCTCTACCCTTCCCTCCTCCACTTAGGTTCGGCTTCTCTATCTTTTCGCAGTCTCCAATCTCTTGAGGAACGTTCTAAAGTCTGTGCCTCAGCTGGTTAGTTGAAACCATTGCAAAACTTCGTGAAAATTAACAATAAGTGTAATGTTATGTCTTTACAAGTAAGGACAATGCTCGTATGTGGAGTGTTGCACTTTTATAATAAGAGTGAGGCCGATCATTTTCACCTAACGTCTAACACGACTTACATTCGTCTAACGGCTTATTTCGGCTTCTTTGCTCTAGGAGGCTAACAGTCGGGCAACTATCCGTGGCGGTACTTTGCCCAATCGTAAGACTCAGTTAAGCTCCCTAGTCTTGAAACCGCCCGGCTCCTGTCCCGATGTCGGCGAACCGCCAACAAAGGTTTGCTTTTCGATATTTTGTGTCCAACATTTTTCGATATACATCCGGGAAGGTTTCCGCTGCATCAAGATACCCCTTTGTTTCATACTACACGTTGTTTTCTGCCAATGATTTTGTAGTGCAGTCTGGACTGCCAGTAAACCTAACGTCCGCTGGGAGTCTACCAGGCCTGTTGCATGGCCCTCTAATCCACGTCCGGCTGCTGGGCGATCATTTAGCTCCTTCATAACTAAAAGCATCTGACTTTGTCAAGCAGTCTATCAGTTGTCAGGTTAATTCCCCGTCACCGACATTAAAACCGTCTATACGGGAACTTTGGCCGCGGCTTTTTATGTGCCATTTGTCGCTTGTGTGCTCGCGTCGGAAGTCGACCCGAGCAAAATGCTCTATTGATGACGTTTAAGTAGCTGTTATACATATTATTCCCGAATCGCAGCGAATGCTCACACTCCTGGTGTATGTATAAATTGGGAAGGCGGCTGTTCCATCGTCGGAACTATTTATTTATTCATCTTAACTTATGAACTCGTACAGGAGTTCATCGTCAGAGATAAAAGCAACAATTGTGGGGATTATTAATCACTCGAACATCAGCTATGCGCATCTGCAGGTGACTGTGTAGGGCTCTGTATGTTGGCGCCAGATCGATACATCGATTGACCAAGTTCTCAACCGCGGCTCAGACTTCAATCGATTCGCCACTTGCCTTGCTTCCTAGGTGGGCGATTACCCTCAGTATTGCAAAGTTAGACTTGTGACCCGTCGTGTAGGTGTGGGTAGCAACTTGTGATAATCCGTCACCCGTCGCACAGTCAGCGTATGTTCGGATATGCATGATCCGAGTATGCGTTTGGTCTGTACTGTGTAACCACAGTGGCAGTTTAGGTATAGGATACGATATATTACACGCGAATACTCCCTGATATTTAATCATTCCTTGATTTTTATGACCGTGCTGTGCATAGCAACAATGTGCAGATCAAGGGACCTCCAAGAGGCTTCCCAGTCACCGATTTAATGGCAGAACTGGTTCTCCTTCAGATGGAAAAGATTGCCTTCACCCAGCAGGCATCGATTTTTTGACACTGAGACGTGGACGACAGGAAGAACACGCTGCAGAATTTCCATAATCTGCTCTACTCTATCTTTCCAAATATACAGTTCACGAGGAAAGGAAATAATTGGCAACGGCTGCCCTTCCTGTATGTGCCCTACAGGCAAGTCCCAACGGCAAATTAGAAACAACGGTCTACAAGAAAGCTGCGAGCACTACGCAGCCTTTCCGTTTTCTCAGTAACCATCCGGTGGCTCACGAAAGAAACTGTGTGAAAACACTTTTAAAACGGATTCAGATGCATTACAACAGCCCGAAAGTATTGTACTTGAGGCCTGATATCTCCACGACCAATTTATACGGAACGGTTATCCGAAGGCGTTCACTTGCCCATTCTTACGCGTCCCCTCCCCCGGGAGGACCGATCCAGAAAGAGCACCTATGGTATGGCATGCCTCGCCATACATCAGGGACATGTCGGAGGCGACCAAGCGCATTGCTTCAGGACCAGGCATCCGGATTGCACACCGACCCAAAGCTCCCATGCGCAGCAGTGTCATGAAAGTCAGAGACCGATTAAATCCCAGGGAGTATTCGCGTGTAATATATAGTATCCTATACGTAAACTGTCCTTGTAGTTACACAGCACTGACTAAATGCATACTCAGATCGGGCATATCCGAACATATGCTGACTGTGCGACGGGTGACGGATCATCACAGGTGGCTACCCACACCTACACGACGGGTCACAAGTCTAACATTGCAATAATGAGGGTAATCGCCCACCTCAGAAGCAAGGCAAGTGGCGAATCGATTGAAGTCTGGGCCGCGGTTGAGAACTTGGTCAATCGATGTATCGATCTGGCGCCAACATACAGAGCCCTACACAGTCACCTGCAGATGCGCATAGCTGATGTTCGAGTGATTCATAATCCCTACAACTGCTGCCGCCTTTATCTTTGACGGTGAACTCCTGTACGAGTTAGTAAGTTACGATGAATAAAGAAATTGTTCCGGCCATCGAACAGTCTTCTTTTTTCCTATTTATAAATATTAGTTTTTTGTCTTCGCGGTGCCACCTGTGGGTGCTCCAGTCTGAGCTCCTGTTGCAGAAGGGGGCGCCTTCGTTTCTCTCTGAAAGAAAGTCAGGCCTTTGGATGTACACTTCCATGTGAATTTACTAAGTTTGTGATTTGCGATACAGGCCTAGTCAGCAACTAAACGGTAAATTTGAGCTGAATACCATTCTTTAGATCGACTGGAAAGCAGAAATGACCTGTTTAGAACTGCTGGAAGGGGTGGCTGAAAAAGAACGTACGAATTCGTACACTTCTTTAATTTCCAAATTGCCTGAATTTTCATAAAGCTTTCGCCTCATCGGGTTCAATCCATTACGGCCTGAGCGGGATAGAACATGTCTGTCCGCAATATGCGTGTGACTGAAAATCGGTAAGGTGTGGTTATGCAGCCCCACCTGATGGACACAACACTTTTATGGTCAGGGTTAGGGGTTGGGGCTACTATTTCTCAACCACTCAAAGTGTAGCCGCGCATTACCAATAACTTTTCTTCCGCATACAAATACTTGACCTCATCGTCTGTCCGTTCCCCGGTCCCACCTGTAAAAACTCCCTATTACTATCGGTCTCGTATTACAGGCAGCTGCTGTTTGTTTACTTCAGGTGGGGCTAGATAACCAGGTCTGACCTGAAAATCTGTCGGGTCCAGGCTAGCGGCAACACTGACGATTCCAATAAGAGGGAAATCGCATTTTGCTGCAGGAAAGAATAGATGCAGGTGCGGGAGCGATGGTTTCCTACAGAAGAGCTAAGGTACTTCCTGGGCAGACAGTTCGCTCGGGGAAGACGGCACGCGTGCGCCGACTAAGGCGTTCTCTTCGGTCCGTGTAGCCATGTCAGTGATGGGAATTTACTGGTCGGTTGCCGGGGAGTGTGCGATATAGCATACGCAACAGCACACATGTTTCGCCGATACCCTGCCGCTGCATGACACAGCTGCGAGGGGTCCTGCTCATTATTTGGTCTCCTAGGGTTTCCCGCGTTCTTCCTGGTAGGTACTCCAGTTTCGAAATTGTAGCTTTTTAATTTCCTTAGGAATCGATCGCAAACTTGGAGTAAATGTGTCTATTTGAGACTTATAGGCTTAGGCCGGATGTCTGTTGGCAGTTTATGCATATTACACGGCCATTCCGCTGCGAAAAATAAACTTCAGCCCAGGTATTAATTTCAAATTTTACTCTGTACTTCGCATGTTAGCGTTTGATTTCGGAGGAAATTGAAGGACCGCAATTGGTCTGTTAATTGGTAGGTCGACGCGTACGACTGACCGGCCCGCCCGGTTGGGCTGCTGGACGGAGCGAGCGAGGGAAGCCCGCAAAACTCACATCTTGTCGTTCGATGGACTTAATCAAATTCGACGACCTTGAACATAATCCTTCTCACTGTTGGTTAGAAACCTTGCCAGTTTTGATATCTAAATTTTGTGACCTATCAGAAGGAAGGTCAAGAACCTCACACTGAATTCCCGTCCACTCCGCATTCCCGACAGCTTTACAGCATTCAAGAAATGGCCGGTCCTCAAAAGAAGGGGTAGTTTGGTTTATAAAGCATTACGTATTAGCTAAGAAATTGTTTGTTTTATCGAAAACCATCAGATCATGATACGTCTTCTTGACTGGTCAATTATTTAAGGTCTAATATAACTGACAACAGAGAAGAAAAATATTATAAAACGACAAGATAATGGAAAGTAATGATAAATACAACGTATTAGTACTTTACTGCTTGTCCCTTTACTTTCAAAACTTCTATAAGTCGGAAGAGCATGGATACTACGAAGTTGTCTTTGGTGGTTAAATCTGTTTAGTAAGTAAGCAAAAACCCTGCTTTTGTTCGATTGGCGGGTGTTTTCTTGCCTCGACCCGGTTTCTTTTGATTAACGCAAAATGATTTTCGGTGAGATTGAGGTCAGGACTATTGGCTGGAATAACTGTGCTCTGCAGGGGACGGGCCGACTCTGGTCTAAAAAGTATGTTATAATTGTAAGCTAAGTTAAAATCATACCTCCTTTGAGCGGGGAACAAGGGCATTTTCTGGCTATATTACAGTTTACATTCGACGTCGAGAAATGCCGTTTTAACCGAAGGCATCCTTTACGATGTCAATTAACACCTTGCTATCAATGGTCTCCTTTGTCGACTGCCAGATCGATTGCTCACCGAATCTGATATCTACTCAAACCATCAGGCGCCGACAGCTCTTGGAAGTTGTTGTTGATACAGTGTGTCCCCGTGGGGAGTTCTTCCCCCATATGACCGTGTGAACCGATTTCGTAGACTTATTTATGAATAAGACCTCATCACAAAGTATTTGCTTTGCGGAATAAAAGTTTGTGGTCGGTATACTACTGAGCAAACAAAAAATTCTCTTATAATTCATAGATGTTTTGGCAGATTTTGAATAATTCATATTGACTCAACTGTCAAAAATTCGGCGCCTCAGTGGGATTCGAACCCATGACAGTAAGAGGAAGGCTTTAGTACAACCAACGCTCTAACCACCTGAGCTACGAGACCCCGCCGGACGACGCAAGTTTAATCATCTGGTGGATTCTAGGTGAATTACTTAGGAAATCCTGCTTGGGCAGTCAGCTTACTGTATCAGATTTGGCGGATTCCGGACGCTGCAGTAGGTTGAGCGGATAGCTTGACCCAAGTGTGATTAAACACGCGTCGTCCGGCGGGGCCTCGTAGCTCAGGTGGTTAGAGCGTTGGCTGTACTAAAGCCTTCCCCTTACTGTCTTGGGTTCGAATCCCACCGAGGCGTCGAGACTTTCACAGCTGGATCAATATAAATTCTCTTATGAGTCCCCTACTTAAAAATGATTTTGTCATGACATTTAGCTGATAGAGCCTAAATCCTTTCCTCCTTTTTTAATTATGCACAGTGAAAACATTGACAAATGGTTCCTGTGAGTAGCCTTAAGAGGCATATAGTTGTACTTTTCAGTATATAACGAATAAATCCGTCGTCTTGCCTGCATGTGGATCGTTTAAGTACACCTTGCTTGATTATAAGCACTGTTCTATTATTAATAATTCCTTACAAAGTGGCATGGCTAGTATTGAAAATGCTAGCTAACGACTCACGCGGCAGCCCTCTGACTGCCAATTTTCGTATATGCTCAAAATTGACGCCCCACGGGAAGTGCTTCGACATCTCCATCGCAGGGCGTGACACAGAAAAGTGACAGCATGTCGCGGCTACTCTATAAATATTTGTTTTCGCCGACTAATTCGCTCTGTGATAGAGCAAACTACTGCCAAACAAGTTTCTTGCGGGATTTCATGGTATAGAGGGGTAAAATTTTTAAAATATGATCTTTGGCGCGTAATCTCCCTTGTTTTTCGAAACAACTGCGTTTTCTCATGTCTGAATCCACCTGGCTTTCACGGACGCAGAATCCTATTGTCCGTTTCCAGGAGGGATTTACTTAAATATTCTTTTGCCTTTATTAATGTCCCTTGATAGCACAACGCGCAAAAACAAAAGGCTTTGACATGTGATGCTAAGTAACGTAGCAAGTTACTTGGATGTCAGGAGACGTCCTATTTCGTCAAATCTTTGCCTGTTTTCTTCCGCGAAACAGATTTGAAATGAATTCTGTAATAAAAGGCCTTCTGTCCCTCAACTCAATTTAACAAAAAAAATTAACCTCAACAAATGTGTGCGGTACCACCCACTCAAATGTCGATGGGGACATTTTATGAGTTAGGCTATCTATAGCTGACACGATTAAGTCCTTGACCACATCTTTCTACGTTTCATTAATCTCGAGTGTCTTGGCAGCTTAGGCCGACATATCTGCACATCGGGCTCTTACCCGACAACGAAGACAAATACGTGTCAATTACTCAATGCAAATATAGGCCTGCTTTAAGCGGCCTTGTGCCCTTTTTAACCGGGCTAAATTAGTAATGCCATCATCAGTGTGGCTGTTATTAATCACAGACTGCAGACCGTAGGCCCTTATGCAGGCTAACTTGTGGCTTCCGTATTCCATCAAACCGATAAACTTAGTTCTTGGCCTCTGATCGACCCAACCTAACGTTACGAGACGTGGCTATCAAAGTTTCCTCACCCCTGTTATCTATTCCTTTTACGTTGTTCGCGATTGTTAGGGACCGTGCCACAATTCTCTACAAGTTGTTTGTGCGGTGACAGGTGTACATGATAAGTTACCAGGCATCACTTAACGCTACGCCAACTTTAGACGCATTGTTTTATCGGGCGGGGGAAGGGGGTGCCTTAGTCTCTCGGTTTACCTGATGAGCACTCTTTCAATTTGTTACTTAGATGTTCATCTGACTGCCTCGTGACAGTTTCGCGGTGTTTAATACCGACTTCTAGGACCGACGCCTAGATCAGAGAAACAAACCCATACGAACGTAAGGGACAAGGAGGCCCATTGTTTATCGTTAATTATTGTACCACCCGCACATCTTCTTATTTGCTAGAGGACCTTATCAAAACACCAATTTCCGAACCAATAAAAAACTTTCTGTTTAGAAGCTCGCTTCAGAACCGTCGAGAGGGATTGTTCCGCCGCCTGGACGCCAACCAAATAAATCAGTAGGTCCTTCGGTAAGTTTACTTTGTCATGCTAGTCCCCCCAGTCGCATTAAAAGTCCCAACAACTGTCTTTGATCGAAACGTTTATTTTAGTTTTCTTTTTAGGTAGACACGTCGTTTGAGTTGTCTTGTGTATACGTATGCAAGTGTGGTTTTCACACAAGCACTACCAGCACAGACAATCCTGACCGTAAAGTGATTATAACGGGTCCTGGAATCAATTCGCACGTCAAACATCCTTAGATTTTAAAGTTCCATTTCGAGCTTTAGTAGAGTGGCGTTAGATCAGATGTTTCGATGAGATCTGTGTCACAGTGACATTTCGACCGCCCACCTTGTCTTCCACATTAGGATGAGACTAGGGACGGTGACTTGTGCGTGAGTTAGTTTAAAGTGATAGTAAGCTTACGCAGCATCTACCGCACTCTCTCCTCTTCCCACACCTGGATCCGGTGTCAAGGCAGAGTGAAGAATACCGAAGGTGGGAGAGGACTCGGGTGGCCAGCACGGTGAAAGTGCGCACCTAGGTGTACTGCCACACCCCCTGGTCCACAACGCGTACACTGAGCACCAGGTGGGAGTGCCATAGAAGCTACAGTAAGGAGACATTGCAGTCTGCCTCTCAGTCTACCAGTAGGCCACTTCACACACTTGGTTGACTGTGATGCCCGGGTTATTCCGTCATTTGGCAACCTTCCATGCCACTGCTTTTAGTGTACTGTGTTAGATTCAAGCGCGTCAAGTTGTTTATGGTGAGGAAATTATGCTCTGGCTGCTATTTGGGTGGGAGTGAGTCCCCAGGCTCGACCCCATTCTCTTCCTTCTCCCGGGCACCAGTACACTGCCCGCACCGGTTAGTCCTCTGATGCATGGATCGGACGCAAGTGCCTCACTTCTAGGCAGCCCGTCTGCGCCTGCCACCCACGACCTGGTATTGGGCACAACAAGCCAGGTTTTCGCGCAAAGGAGGTGGGCGGCTCGGATGTCACACGCGTAAAAAGCACCCTATAGGGGGACATGTAAAGAAGGAGTCATTAAGCCTGATCTACAGCCCGCCAATCGATCACTCCACGCAAATGCAGGGCCGACTGCGACGTCTGCATTGCATCTTCAGCTGACAACCTTCGGAGCCACGGCGTTTAGTGCGTCGTGATAGGTTCAGCGCGTCAGATTTGCCATAGTAAGCAGTGTGTTGGAGTGCTGCATGGATGGAGTCCCGTGTCGGCCTCTCCTGCCGCCCTCGTGAACCAGTCGATGGTCCGACGATGACTCCCTGGTTTTCCCCCTATTTGACCGTCGATCCCGACGATGTCTACCGTGTGCCACACAACATTGTTGGTGTAGGGATGCTGGCTTGCGCGTGGGTTAGTTCATAGTGACAGAAGACTTGCTCTACGCATACCGTACCCTCTCTCTCTTCGCTCACCTGAGTCCGCTGTCATGACAAAGTCGAGAAGACTGGAGGCGGGATCAGGCGCTGGTGGTTGGCGCGACATGAGCTCGCCCCTAGTCCTGCCATCGCATCGCGCTACGTGGCAGTTTGTTATGCGTGAGTATCCCCAATAACGCCTGTCGTGCCCTGATCTGGCTCCCTTGTCGGTTCAGCGCATCTACCGGGTGGCCCGTTTTAGGAGCCATGGTCGTATCCGTCTGTGTGCAAAATCGAGATCTGTGCTCACAGAGGACTCTGCTACGGACGATGCAGAATGCTAATTCATTCTCTAGCATCGTGCCCGTTAGAACCGCCACAGAAATTCGCTGTCATATTCATTATTGTTATTGTTGTTGTTATTACTGATACGTTTTTTCATTGAGGCATCTAACACATGCTGGCTGGACTTTATCCTTGGCTCATGTAAATGTTTACCGCTTCAGGCCTCTTGACCCATGCATCAGTTCTTAGAGGTCTGATTTTCGTTTACAAGGGCATACCTCCATAACATTTTTATGTCACGTATGTCATTTCTTCGATTCTGATAACTTATACCCCTTTTTCCCTTCTAAAGGCCCGAGAACCAAGTGGGCATGATCATCCCTCCAGCACAAGTCCTCAATTTTTGACTGCGAAGCAGCAGGTTCGTTTCTGACACTGACCTTCTGTTTTCCCTTCTCTCTCCGTCTCTCCTAAAATCCTGCGAACTCTGCCCATCAAGTCGCTAACACCACCTTTAGTAACTTAGTCGCCAACTTCCCCTAATTTTGTCCACAACAGAACGACCAGAAGGCGCGTCCATTATGAGCAAGTTTCAAATCAGCCAGTTTCTCAGTGCTGTCATCATACACTCCGTTTTAAAAACTGACTCCAGGGTAAACAGGCTTTGACGTCCGACGTGTAAGCATTCCTGAACCATGCAATAGTAATACCTTCAGATGTGGGTGGTCAAGAATCCAGCAAGGGTTTCAAGCAAGAGCGATGGTTTGACATGGCGACTGGTATCTGTCGTCAGATATCACTCTACCCGCCACTGCCGCCGCCTTCCAGCACAAATCTGCAGTTACAAAGTAGAATGCAGGAAGGACACCTCGGCACCGTCCACCCTTGAATTCGGAAAGCAACCCCTCAGCCAAATCGTTCAACTCCAGTTTGGTTCGCCGGACCAAGGCTTAACCGAGTCTTTTGACGTCTGAAGGCCCATTGTTCACGCCCTCTGGTTGGTCTTAACGAGTAGTATTGGCTCCTCTAGGGTTCATTTTCCGCCGAACGGCAACAGCCACCATGTTCTAGTGCTCTGTCATGCATTAGAGGTGGTTGCACATACCGAACTGCTGTCTTTCTCCTGACCACCACAATCACGGCCTGCAGGAAAAACCCCCATTAGGACAAAATCACATTACCGTAACTACTTTATGGTACGTGATTTTGGATAGTGGAAGGCAGTGGGTCTGATTTTATCAACCCTTAATGTTATTCAAACGTATCGATCCCCATATTGTCGATAATTGCTCTTTTGTTTCCGTCTACGTTGTGATTGATAAGAAATGGGACAAGCATCCACACATGTGGCCGGAAAATGTGTGAGCCCGGGAAGCACACATTTACAAGAGGAAGTTGTCATAGTGAAGCTTTCCAGAGAACACGCGCGCCACGTTCGTTAGCTTGTGCGTTGAACTTGAAGATAGTCATCAGTGCCTCAGGATGCAGCAATGACTTGTGTTTGATGAGGATTTTTCTGATAGACACTTGCGACGCATCAACCTCACTCTCCAATTACACAACATTGTCAAGACAAGAAATGGGTGTGGGCTCATACCTCATCAGACATTTGCCTCATGTGCTAGTGTCTCAGCCTGTACGAACTAGACTTCAATCGTTTACATATTGTATCGACATCACGGATTGCCTTTAATTCGCTCTAGGACCTTAAAATCTCTCACCGTACCGAAGACGCAGTTATCATGGTAATTGGTAACCCCGCAAGTGACCTCATTCTGGGCGCAGTGGTGAGTCACAAGCACGCCGCAGTTATTGCGGTATGAAGAGTTCGCACAGGCTGGACCCCCTCCCCTCTCTCACCTCTTTCGCCATAAACCAGCGGAAAGGCTAAATCCGAGGACATGAGGTTGGACGCAGTGACGGTTGAAGTTTAAAGGCCCGTCTCGTCTCTTACACGCATTCTGTTTGCTCAAGGAACACGAACCTGACTTGCAGTCATTCGGATACCTCGGCCATTGTCAGCTGCAGTAAAGGCCACATTTTAATGACATTGTAATCTGGTTACCAGTCCTGGTAGCTGCTAATTGGCAGTCTTCCAAGCCACAGCCCCTAACGCATTCTCCAATGTGCAAATCTGGATGGTCCAGGGCGGCTGCGGGGCGCCTATTTCTCGTTTTGTGGACGACAAACCTCAGTCCATGTATGTTGCCAAGTCAACTTGTTTAGTTGCAATCTCTTATCTGTCGTGAAGATGAAAAGTTAAATTCTTATCTGGACCTCGATCATAGAATCCGTATCCAGAATCTTTTCAGCGGCCTGCGTCCGTCTAATTATCGTTCATCGTTTGAACGTGACACAAGTTTCGAATCATCATCATGACTCCAATAGCGAGGGTGACCAGCCAGCCTGGTGACTAGAAGCAGGCTTCTCTAAATGTCCTTTATGTGGTCGTCTAGATCGTTCTCTAAAATGTTTTAGAGCTCTAATTGGTAAAGGTGTTTTGTTTTGTGGAGAGCAGCCGCACTTCCTCCACGCTCTTTACGCATGCTTTTCAAAACGTTGTCGCACTTGTGACGACTTGTCATCCACCCTGTATGTTGTTGGAGGGCAAGAAGAGGAAGGGGTAGATGAAGTATCTCTTCAACTCACTGCCAGACATGTGCCCAGTTTCCTAAACCTTCACACTTACATTGCATCACGTTTGTCATCAAGCCTGTTTTGGTGCGCTTACTTGGCTATCCAGACCACTATCATTACTGTTATACCCTTTCCTCAGCTAATCATCACCAATTGCATCACGTTTGTCATCAAGCCTGTTTTGGTGCGCTTACTTGGCTATCCAGACCACTATCATTACTGTTATACCCTTTCCTCAGCTAATCATCACCAATCAAAGCAAAAATTATGGGAAACCTTCCTCTCCGGTCGTTGCCGCCATCACGAAGAAATCCCTGGGCAGGTAATGTGACTGGCTTTTATATGCAATTCCTGTCTTCCTTCCTAAGTCTACCGTCGGCGATCAAACTATAGTCTTACGGGCCGGTCTCCAGGATTTTGGCGTTTTATCCTGTGGAATCATGTCCCACCTTTCTGCGCTCATTTGCGAAAGACGGCTTGCTCAATCATCCTCGCCAGCTGTGCTTTTCAGACAATTTTTCGCACGTGGTTTAGTTTAGTTCCCTTCAACCTGCTGAAGAAGGGAAGGTACACCTATCAGCGTGTACTTCGGCTTCGCTGTGCTAGGACTGCAGTAGGTGGGGTTTGCAGCATCTTCCCTTGCAGAAGCCACGTAGGCGGTGAGAGAGAGCGTGTTGTGGATTTTGAGGCATCCCATCAGTTCGCTCGATATGATTCTGTCGTCGACTTTGCAGAGCACACACGTCAGGCTTATGGGCTCCTGTAATTTTTCGCCGGAAACCTACTGTCGCGTTTGTAGAGAAGCGCATTTAGCATGATTTCTGGCGTTTTTGGCACTCCCGCTTTTTGAACAGCGTTGTTGTTTTAAACAACGTAATTGCTTTCGATATTTATTTCAGGTCCTTTTTTAACCTTACGTCGTTCATTGTTAATCAGGAGTTTTGGTTGATACACCTGAGCGGGTTTTCGAGTGATTAGAGATATTCCGCAAATTTAGGCTAATTTCGTGTGTTAGGTCACCCATGTTCCGTCCTCCCCTCTAGCCACGTCGTCAAGTTATAAAACGGGATTCGGTCCTGATTATTATGAAGGTCAAGGTACGTCTATTATCCTAGCCGCTACGGACCATCGCGCGACTGACAATATGAGACATCCGTCAAGCCACCCCTGCACCAATGTGATGTACGACCTGTGCGCCCAATAAATATCCGTCGCGTAAAAATATCCCATCAGTCGTGCTTGCGCTCCATGTTCCTTAATTTCTTTCTCCGTCCGTGTCTCTAGTTAGTCACGATACAACTTGTCGATTGTGCTCTCTTTACTCGCCGAATTTGTAGGTGAAATGATCTGGGATTAGATATCACCCGAAATCCGCTCTGGTTGGTGATAGCCTCAAGGCCAGAGCGAGTCTGGGTCTAATTGTCTCCCGCATTCTGTCTGTGCAAAGTTTGCTACCTGACGTCTTGGACAAGGACAGGAACCCAGTCATCTGCACATATTCTGCAACCATCTCTGCGTGGTTTTCATTTCTTTTTGCCTCTGTTTTCTGCGTAGCCGGGGTCCAAGAACTGCGTTTGTACCCCCCTTCGCCCGAAACAGTTCTGAGGCCCCGGACTCTGAAGCCCGCATCCCCCCTGCGGCTACATTGCCGTCTACAAGCGGTGTCCCTCTTGTCGCTAAATCTGAAAATGGGCAGGACGTTGTAGTGGATGAGCGCCTCAAACAATTTGATGCCAAAATTGTTGACCTTATAATGTCTGAGGTGAGTAGATGTGAAATCTTTCAAATGTACATAAGTGGTTATAAAATTTCACCTTTTCTCCGCTGTATAAGGTTATTTTTTCCGCCACTTAAAAGTCAACCGTTTACGGACCTACAAAGTATCCCTCTCAGATGCATTTCTTTAAATACTCCCTCAAGGAAGAAGGGAGCTGATCAGACAGCAGAACATTGTTTTGTTAAGCCTTCAGACTCATACGGGGGTCCATTGTCAGAGATGACCACAGCAGCAGAACATGTGACAGTTATGGGGGCTGTTAACTGACAAACGACCAGTGTCGCATGTCTAGAGGTGGCTGCGCAAGACTGTGTATGTGGACGCCAGGTCAATGCATTGATTTAGTTGTCGTCAGAGGCTTAGGCTCCAATCAGTCCTCAGATTGTCTTACTTCCGATATGAGCGATTATCTTGGCGGCTGCGAAGTTTAACCCGACCTGTTTCGAGGATGTGGGCAGTCACTTGTGATAGTTCGTCACCCCGTCGCTCAGCCAACTTTTGTTCGTGTATACGCGATCTGAGCATGCGTTCCGTCTGACCTGTATAATTACAAAGACAGTTGAGGCACGGGAAGCGGTATACTGCACCCCTTTGCTCTCTAGAATTTAATCGGTCTTTGATTTTCAAGAGCCTGTAGCGCGTGGTAGCTTTGTGTTTGTGGACAATTGCAACGCCTATTTACGCAGCAATGCGTTTGGTCGTCTCTGAAACGTGCTTAATATATGGCAGATCATGCCACATCCTCGTTGATCTGTGCATACTGACTGACGCGACATTTAGCCCTCACCCCTGTGTGCCACATTCGTGCCACTTTTGCAACCTTCGTAAAGCAGAACGCACTAAGTGGAACCCCACATCAGTAAGACCACTGGAAGGAGGGGTCATTGAAGCCTTTGCCAGTTCGAAGAACCATGTTATCCCGTTATCCGCCAACTCTTCAAAGTACGTCATTTGGCTCACCCCGAGTGTTCAAAAACTCCGTTGATATATAATACTGTGGGGGAAAGCTCCGATGGATTGGTCTCACTCGAGGTTCCCTGTCTCGTATCAGTGGTTGATTTGCAGATGAAACAGTGTGTCCCATCTGA